CTAGAATAAGGTTAGTTTTTAAGTTCTGAAAGGCTCCAAATGAACAGATTCTGGCAGAAATGCATATTTCTACAGCTGACCTTCTCAGGTCAGTGACTTTTAGACCCCCTACAACTGCTGGATCCTATTGGGTTTGCTTGTTGCCAAGGAGTATCTTTAGGAAGGGATGGTCCTAGAAAAGGAGCGCAGAATTGAATTCCCTTCCAGAAATGCCCTTGTGCACTCTCATTTGGTACATTTCAGCACCAAACATGCTTATTTGCAAATCATTTTTAAGCTAACATTTCCCATCTGAAGTTCACAGAATGCTTTTAATTCACTAATGTTTCTAAAACTCACAGAACAATTCTGTGGGATTAGTATCCTCTTTTCTAGGGACGAGAGCACCAAGGCACACAGTTAGGGCCACATTGTGATCCCTTTAATCACATGAGTGGTCGCATGACTCCAATGGGATTGCACAATTGAATTACTGTTTCCCAACATCAGTAAGTTTCTAGCAAAGCCCGGAGCGGAATACAGATATCCTGACTCTCTGCCCTGTAACTGAGTCATGAGATTCTCCCCATGTTATGAACCTGATCATAAATTAGAACACAAAATACAGGTTGGACCTTCCTGGTCCAGCACCCTTGGGACCGGAGTGGTCCTGAACCAGGGAGTTTGCTGGACCAGGGAAGGTCAGGCGCCTCTCTGAGATGTAGGTGTCCCAGGAGCCTTGGTTCCCTGCCTGCTGCTGGCCCCATGCCAGGGCTCCAAGTATCAGCCTTCTTGGGCTGGGACCCTCCAGCCACCACCAACCTGCTGCTGGGCTCCCAGGCCCAAGGATTCCACCCTGCCACCACTGGCCCTTCTGCCGCCAAGATTTCAGGACAGGGCTGGGGATTACCCCCTACCACCGCCAGCCCCACTACTGCTCGGTGGCCAGGATTGGGGATTCACTTCTGTGGCTGGCCCCCGTGCTGCTGGGGTTCCTGGCTGAGGCTTGGGATTCCTCCCAGCCACCGCTGGTGCTCCCTGGAACTGGACTCCCCACTCACCACAGGACCATCCCCTGCCAGACCAGCTGGGACTCTCCAGCAACTGTGGGACTCCCACCTGGCTTGTGCTCCTCAGCTTTGGGGCTATTTGGTCCAGCAACATCCTTGGTCCTTCCAGACCACGGATGTGGTTGGACCAGAAAGTCCCAGATTTGGGGTTTCAAGCTGTAGTAAATAAATGTTATTTGAAAAAATCCCAGTGTGTGCACCCATGTGGAAGTGATGTGAACCACAAAATTCATGTGGCAGGGTTGGGGCCGAAGGGTTCAGACTGTGAGTGGTGGCTCAGGGCTGGGGCAGAGGGTTGGGATGTGTGTGCATGGGGTTGAGGGATCCAGCTGGCAGTGTGGGGGCTGACAATGAGGAGTTTGGGGTACAGGCTGCCCTGGGCTATGATGGGGAAAAAGGATATATCTGCAACTCTCTCTCTCCCCGGCAGTGTCTGGGCTGGGGGCAAGAGCTGTCTCTTCCACAGCAGTGGCAGCTCCAGGCCTGGCTGGGTTGGGGCTGCAGGAGGGGTGCCTCTCCCTTGGTTGCACGTGTTGAGGCCGGGGCTTGACTAGGGCTACTGGTGAGGTGCCTCTCCCATGGCCATCTCAGATCCAGGCAAGGCTGGGTTGAAGCTGCGGGAGAGGGCCAGGTCTAGGCCAGACTGGGTTAGAGCCAGGGGAATGGTGCCTCGGTCATGGCAGGGCCTTTGTTGGGCTAGATTGTGTCTGGGGCTGGGAGAGAGGAATCTCTGCCCCAGGAGCCCTGAGTGATTGTGTGGCACATAATAGGCAGCTGTGCAGCCTCATAGCTGTGCAACTTAGAGGCAACTTAGGATCACAGTATAAGGCTCAAAGAAATTGCTGTTAGTATCTATTTGCAATTAGTTCTATACACAGTATTGAGGAGGCTATTCCTGAAGTACCACACCTAGCTCTGCTGTCCACCTTTCAAAATGGACTGTGAAATGATTCAGAGCAGAGCTACAAGAATGTTTTGAGGTCTGGAAAAATGTTTTACAATGAAAGACAATCTACTGAGTTAACCAAACAGAGGGTCAAGAGATGAGTGATCACGGTACATCGCACCTACCAAGAGGAAGAGACTTCTGACAGTAGATGACAGTTCAATTTAGCAGACAAATACATAAAAAACTAATAGCTGGGAGACAAAACTAGATAAATTCAGAATGCAAATTTAGAATGGCAAAAGTTTCAATAAAGGATTTAATAGGGGAATTAACAGGGGAATTAACCATTGGAACAACACAACAGAAAATGGGGGTGAATTCACCACCACTTGAAGCTATAAATCAGGAATGGGTATCTTTCTAAAGGATATGCTCTAGCTCAACCAGAAGTTATTGAATTTCCTATAAGATGTTTAATGCCAGAGGCCAGACTAGCTGGTCATATGATTCTTTCTGTTTTGAAAATCTATGAATCCTCATTATGAATATTCTCTTGTCTGCTATCTTAACAAGATGAAGTTGTCTCTCTCGTGGGTATGATCTGCAATACGTTGCCAATAACACATGATAAATAAGGATTTCCCAGGGAATCTCTAATTATTATGCGTCACCTTAAAAGTACTTGCCATCTTTTGGCTTATTACAGAGCTAGATGTGGTGAGAACACACATTTCCATCTTCTATTTTCCTGTAAGTAGAAGTTAGTGACTGTGACCAAGGCTGACAGTCCCTCTGTAAAGAGAGGAGCAGCAGGTGCCTGGTGCCCCCAAAGGCATATAAAGTAGCAGAAGAGAAGGGAGATCACCTGATTTCCCTGATTAGACAGAAACATGGCACATGGTAGGAGATACCGGTGATCCAAAACTTGGTGGGGAAAAGCAGAGACCTACAAAACCAGTGAGGAACTCAGATTTCCTCATTTTGCAACATTCCCCCCTTATAAAACAACAATGGTTCTGTAACACTTTAGAGACTAACCAAAAAATATATCAATAGTATCATAAGTTTTTGTGGGCACAACCCACTTCTACAGATGACAAATATGGAGCAAGAGGCACAGAGGTTTGAATATAAAGCAGAAAAAGAGTGGAGTGGAAAAACTGTCAAAGTGTTCATGCTAAATGAGGCTAGTAAGTGCCCGATACTTAGCTTTTTATGTCATTTTTGGAATATAACTGCCCATCCAGTTCATGTCTTTGTTCAAGCCATAAGACATAGTGTCAAATTCGCAAATGAAGGTCAGTTCCACAGACTCTTTTTAGTTGATGCTTGAAATTACTTTGTAAGAGATTAGCTACCATTATATTCACGAGTGAGTGCCCAGGCAAGTTAAAATGTTCCCCAACAGGTTTCTGTTTGTTACTATTTCGAATATCTGATTTGTGTCCATTAATCCTTTGTCCTAGAGATGCTCCAGTTTGGCCAATATAGATAGCAGAGGGGCATTGCTGGCACCTGATATCATAGATCACATTGGTGGATGTGCTATTGTGTGAGCCTCTGATGCGGTGGCATATGTAGTTAGGTCTTGTGATGATGTCGCTTGTATAAATGTCTGGACAGAGTTTCCCCATCCCCCACTCTACTTTTTTTTCTACTTTATATTTGAACCTCTGTGCCTCTTGCTCCATATTTGTCATCTGAAAAGTGGGTTGTGTCCACGAAAGCTCATGATACTATCTATATATTTTTTGGTTAGCCTCTAACGTGCTACAGAACCATTGTTGTTTTTTAAGTTTTTTTAGTTACAGACTAACACAACTACTCCCCTGATACTCACCTTATATTTGTCAAATGCAATATTTATTTCGAGCACATTCTTGGGTTCTGTATGAATATCTGACAACTCCATTTAGTCCTAACCAATTTGTAGAAATAAGCAAACACACACCTAGGGGAGTGTTTAATCCATTATCTCCTAGGCAATTGAGATCACTCCCAATGGTATGATCTCTGGCCCCCCCTCCACTGTACTGCCATCACTTAAGATTTCTATTTCTAGAACTTGTCCTAGTTGCTATTAGAAACAACCCCAGTCCCATTGTGTTTGTATAAACTGAGGAGAGATTACAAATAGTCTCTTTTAAACATGAGGGGAACAAAGAAATCTTTTTGCAAGCTCTCTCCTTGTAAAAAATAACAGCACATATTTTGATTTCGGCTAATGTGAAATTCATCCATCAGCTCGATTCTGTATTTTAGACACAGTCATGAATGGAGAGTAGGTTGGAGCTCCACCACTCCCTAAGGATTTTGGAGATTTGGACTAATTTATAGTCCTGCTCCAAACTTCCCATGTGCGGGCTTCACCATCCCTCAGAATGGCATATGATCCTACCCAGAGTGTGCCAGCCTTACTATGAGCTTGTGCCAAGCAGGGGGTAGGGCCATGCTTTCCCAACCTCTTTGAGACACTGCACACCCAATGGAGCAAGGAAGAAACAACCTTTGTCCCCCCACAAGTACAAGGATTGCCCCCGCACATGGAAACAGGAGAGAGGGTGTCCCTCTCACCCTTGTGCAGAAGCCAGTTACAATCAAGCTCTTGCAATGCAGAAGCAGTCACCCCCCAGTATCTGAGTCACCAGCCAATTCAGTGACCTGTGGTAAGAACAGGTTTATACAGTGTCTGAAACATTGCAGAGAAATGTAGCTCATTCTCAAGGTTTGGTGGGAGATTAGAAAGACAATAGGAAGTATAATCAGATTTTTTTCCTCTTGAATAATCCATATTTATCTCCAGGCAACAGGAAAGGAAAAAATTACAAAGAGGTTGCAGTGTCATCTGACTGTTTAATTGTTTAGATCTTGTCTGAATGCTGGATGCAATGCATAATGCATTGGGTTGCTTTAAAGCTATGTTTGGTCTCTCATGCACACAGCTATCCACTGAGTACCAGTGACTGCACTTCAGAATATATACCAGACTCTTCACCTTCTCCAAGGAGAGGGATGCAGTGGAAAAGCAATGCCTTTATGCATGCAGACTTCCTTACACTCACCTGATAAGCCACCCACATCCATCTTCTTCAGATTCTTTGCCTCTAGAATGACGACAGTCAGCTTGCCAGCAGTAGGCACATAGCGAAGGGAAAAGCAGATATCTCCCAACTTCTCTTGCTACGAAAACAAACAAGGAAATGTGCTATATTTAATCAGTTTAAGTACTTTAAAAAAATCAAACCATGGACTTCTGAAAGCCCACAAAGTAGGTTAATTGGATTGCATTTCAAACAGGCATTTTAAAATAAAACGTGTAATATTACAGTCTGAGCAATTGGCTTCAAGTTGTTCAGTTTAAAAGTGAGAAGCCTGAACCTGCTTCAGCAAGTGTGTTTGAAAGCCACTGGGCTGTGTCCTGTGAAGTGCTGAATGTGCGTTAGTTTATCTGGCTTCAGTGCGAGTTGCAAAAGTCAGCACTTCACAAGACCATGTCTTCAGAGTTTGAGCTGTAACATAAAGTAGCAGAGTTACAATTTTTGTTCCTCATCTTGTGTTTCTGCCACGTTTGGTTAATTAGCACACCCACAAATTACATGATTGTCAGAGAAACAGTCAACTGGGCTCATTCTCATCATGCTTTGCCATGCAAGCGGAAGCCATTATATGAAAAGACATTTCAAAAACATGACCTAGGAGGAAAAGTTGAGAATTTTGGCATGTTCAGTATAAAGGATAAAATGCTGATGGAGATGCATGATTACAGTCTTCATACATGTCAAAAGCTGTTATACTGAGACAATGATAATGTTCTCCTGGTACACCAACATCAGCAGCAGATGGCTAGAACAAAGGGGCCTAAGCCTCCCCTAATCTATACATTCAATGCACCAACTGCCATCACACCTCATACTCAACTTGAGGAGAAGCTCTGATATGCACCACAGGGCGCAATCACTGGCTCCTCCTTGCACCAAGAGCTAAGGGACCCAATAGGAAACTGGGACTTTGCCAGCTCTATGGGACAGAATGGAACTGCTGCGGTCCAGACTGAACACAGAGCCATTTAAGCCAGCCATGTGTGACCAAACACAGTGACTGCCCCTGGGGGGAATGAGGGCTTAGGCAGGCTTGTTCTTCAAATCCCCCGAATGAGAGTAGGGATCTGCAGATTCACTCTCCTACCTGGCCCTCCTATTTCCCTGTTCTGGGCCAACACAGAGCTGGACCCAGCCCCTTGAGAAAAGAAGCCACTGCTGCCAACACGAGTTCTCCCTGGTTTTTGTGGGGCAGGTTAGAGCAGTCCCTGTGACCTGGCCTCACTCTGCTAAGAATGTCACTATTGCCCTGGAAATGTCCCTTGATTTTTTGTGTTGTAAATATTTGTATCAAGCATGGAAAGGAACTGAGACCACCACATTGTTTCCTATAGGCCTCCATGCCACAATAATAGATGTTCTAAACATGCCATAGATTGATTTGGCAGGCCACTGAACTGGGCTCACTATGTCATTGGTCACTCATGGCTCCACCCTTAGAACCCTTCCCCTGTACTCTCATCCCCCATCATTTAGGGGCATTAGTGGTAGGAGTGCCTCCCAGCCAGGCAAGACTGTAGCACAGGCTCCTTGTCCTACCGGGATGGTAGCAGGGGCTTCACTCCCCTACAAAGCAGAAAGGGTCCCTTCCTCTCCTGCAGAAAGGAGGAAGTGGCAGCAGTGGGGGACCTCTGTAAGTGCAACGCAGGTTGGTGAATGGGAGGCAGGCTCACTTTCCACATACCCCTGTCCTCTCTGAGTAGCTTTGAAGTTTTTATCATCTCCTTATCCCAAACAAGATTTTCACTCTGTCTGTGCCCACGAAGGAAAGGACAAGAAGCGATCAGCTTAGTTTGAAGTCAGGGAGCTTTAGCTTGGCTATTAGGAAAAATCTGCTAGTGATAAGGGTACGGGTGTAAACCAGAGGCACTGAGACAACTGACAAGGGAAAGTCAAGGGCAGGAGTAAGGACAGCAGAGGAGGGTGAAGGGTTGGGGGGCAGCAGGCACCAGGGGAGCTGATGGAGCAAGGGGAGGAGACATGGCAGCAGAGAGAAAAGGTAGAGGTTTATAAGATGTTTAATAATAACTTATTAGTAATTACTGTTCTTATTCTTATTAGGAATTTATGCCGTTAAAAACACTTTTGGTGGGAGAGGGTGGGAGAGGGTGGCGAGTCCCTTTTTTTGTCTGGCGAGTAGGGTTTTCCATAATTTGTGGAGTCCTGGCTATTAGCCAGGATGGGTAGGAATGGTGTCCCTAGCCTCTGTTTGTCTGGAAATTGGTGACAGAGGAGGGATTATGTGAGGATTACCTGTTGTGTTCCCTTCCTCTGGGACATCTTGTATTGGCCATTGTCCAGGATACTAGGCTAGATGGACCGGAGGTCTGACCCAGTATGGCTGGTTTTTTGTTCTTTTTTTCTTGGGTTTCCGAGTCTCTTGCTGCAGCCTTTAAAGCCAGTTTACTGAACTGGCCCTGCTGTTGGGTCCGGAGGAGCACACCTGTCCCCCAGCTCTGGCAGCTCCCTACTGCTGGGGCTGGAGGAGCACATGGCTGCGGGAGAGACATGCTCCATTGGCCCCAGATGGCAGTTCTGTGCGGGGTTTATTAGGGAGTTGTGCCTCTGTGCACCTTAGAGGAAACCTTGGTGAAGGGCAATTAAGTCCATTGTTGCTCTCTGCTCACCAGTCTTCAAGTTTGATACAATCAACTCAGGATTAAACAGAGACTGTGAATGGATAGCTAGCTACAAAAGCAGCTTCTCCTCTCTTGGTATTCACACCTCCAGATCAGCTACTAGAAGTGGGCCTCATCCTCCCTGATTGGATCCACCTCTTCATCTCTAGCCTGATTCTGGCCTGCATATTTATACCTGCCTCTGAAAATTTCCACTACATGCATCTGACGAAGTGGGTCTTTGCCTATGAAAGCTTATGCTCCAACACTTCGGTTAGTCTATAAGGCGCCAGAGGACTCCTCACCACTTCTCTATATGGATGTTTGTAAGAACAGAAGCTTCAGGGGATAGCCAAGTTAGTCTGTGCGGCTGTGTCTACATTGCACCCCTTTCCGGAAAAGGGATGCCAGATGAGACGAGTTGGAATTGCAAATGCAGCGGGGATTTACATTTTCCCCGCTGCATTTGCATGAACATGGCTGCCGCTTTTTTCCGGCTCGGGGCTTTGCCGGAAAAAAGCGCCAGTCTAGACAGGGATCTTTCAGAAAATAAAACTTGGAGATCTGTCATAGTATGATTTGGAAGGTTAAAATGTTCCCCAATAGGTTTCTGTACATTTCCTTTACATATTCGTGTCCATTGATTCTTTCCCACACAGTTTGTCCAATATATATAGCAGTGTATATATGCTGGCATTTGATGGCATAGATCAAATTACTGGATGTGCAGTCAAATGACCTTTTGATTTGGTAGCTTATGTTGTTGGCTCCAGTGATGAATTCACTTGTATAGATATGTGGGCAGAGTTGGCACCGCAGCTGGTTACAGGGCTAAGTTCCTGGATGCTTATAATGTGGTTGTATGGCATGGTTACCGGAAAGAATTTGTTTCAGGTTGGGGCGGGGGGGGGGGGGTAAGAACAGGTTAGACACATATGTGTCAGTGGTGGTACAGGTTCACTTGGTCCTGCCCCAGTGCATGGAACTTGGATTATATGATCTCTGAAAGTCCCTCCCAGCCCTACATTTCTATGATTGCAAAAGGGTTTTATCTCCTTCGTATTTGCTACATAGGCTAGCATGGGCTCTAAGGAGGGTCACGTGTTGCCCTCTACACCTCTTGAGTGCCTGTAGGCACTTCATTTTCCCTTGAGCCTCACAATATATTAGTGAGGAACCTACAACCACAACCTGTGATGTTTTACTGTTTATATTCTGTAAAGTGATGGCCCTTCAGGGAAGTCTGAATTATTCTTAAAATTATGGGAACTTTGCCTTAAAAAAGACAAATAGTTATGAACTTTAAGATACAAAAGAGAGATATAAATGAACAACAACACTGCTCAGAAACGATCATGAGGGTGATTAGATTTGTTGTCTCCTCTCATGCACAGTGGTACCTCTGGGGAGTTATCTATGTTGCTTTAGTGAACAGACGAATCAGGTTACATTAAACATTTCAATTAGGCATTTCAGACATCACTGCTTCTCTTTCAAAAGATGGCACTCCTTTTGGCACACAATCGAATCCCACAGTTAATTTTGGAAGCCAAGAAAAGAACTATCTTTAAAGAAATCTTTCCATCCCACCAATGTATCTTTGCAATACAATACAAGTCTATTTATCTGACAGATTCTTTTGTTTTGTCCAAATTGGCCAATTTTAAAAGTGCAGCTGGTCCCCATATTGGAACACGGTGAGGGTATAGCAGCTGCCAGCTTTGAAGAAACTAAGTGGACAAATCAAAACCTCAGCTAAGAAAGAGAAGGAAAATCACTGATAATTTTTTTAGACAGATCTATGTGTGCGCCTGGAATATTATGTAAAAGAGAATGTTCATGTCTGAGGGTATGTCTACACTACAGAGTTTTGTTAGAAAAACAGGACAAATCAGAGTCTCAGCTAAGAAAGAGAAGGAAAATCACTGATAATTTTTTTAGACAGATCTATGTGTGCGCCTGGAATATTATGTAAAAGAGAATGTTCATGTCTGAGGGTATGTCTACACTACAGAGTTTTGTCAGAAAAACAGGACAAATCAGAGTCTCAACTAAGAAAGAGAAGGAAAATCACTGATAATTTTTTTAGACAGATCTATGTGTGCGCCTGGAATATTATGTAAAAGAGAATGTTCATGTCTGAGGGTATGTCTACACTACAGAGTTTTGTCTGACAAAATGTGAGGAACGTCCACACTGCAATTGCATTCTTTTGCAAGAAAATAAAAAAAAAAGTGGGTTTTTTTCCAGCATTGGTAATCCTCATTCTACAAGGAAGAAGCTTTTTTGCAAAAGAGCTTTTTCGCAAAAAAGTGTGTATGGACGGGGAAGAGGGAGTTCTTTTGGAGGAAGAGGAAAAAGGAAAAAGCACAGGTGACCCAGTGGCCATTCTGTCCATAGCAATCACAGATTACATGCAAGAGAGCATTCATTCAGTCTGGACGCTATCTTTCGAAAAAGCAGA